GCAAAAGAGATGAAGGAGAGATAGAAACGGGAGAAAGAAGCAGGGAGAAGGTCGTCTATATTGGACTGACATGAAACGCATTACTAAGTAAAATTAAAGAAAAAAGTTACTGGGATGGAAATAGATGAATTTAAAGGGTAGGGAACGAAAGGATAAGGCGGCAAGCAGCAAGAAATCACGAAAATAATAACACAGCAAAAGACCATAATGGAGGGATACAGTGGTGGCACAAGGAGACCATGGTGGGCTGTATATGAGGGAGAACTCAGAGCGAAAGCTGAGTGCGCGACAAACTAGGAAAAGCCAGAAAGCATATAAAAGGAGAGAATAACTCGACGAGGGAACAATAACTGCAGAGCGAGAGTAAAGAAAGAAGTAATTGGGGGGGCGAGCAGAGCTGTACAGAAGAGAGAAATTAGATTAGAGAAATATTATGGAAAAAAGGTATATCAGGCGAGATATAAAGGAGGAAAGTGGTGAGAGAAATAGAAAAAAGTAAACAAGAAAATGATTACGAAAAAAGATGCGGAGAAACAGAAAGAATATGAAGAGTAAATCAGCGGAAATAAAAACCGAGAGGATTTTTGAAGATAACACAACAATAGGAAAAAAGGAAAAATATATACACACTGGCAGGCAATCACAATTACAAAAAATGGGAATGTTATCACGTTACTGAATCTCGAAAGGGAGAAAGCTCATGGGGAACGAGAAAACGAGTGATGAGAATGGTAGAAAGAGAGGAAGTTGAGGAGAAAGAGATAGAGCAGCCAAAGCTTAAAGACTGAAAGAAGAGAAGCCGAGCAGGCTGAGACGACGAGATAGGACAAATGGTAACTCGTGATTTCGTCGTGTAGAGAGTCTACACGACATAAGTACTGAATGGAAGATTGAAAAGAGAACATGTAAAATTGATTGAGGAAAAGCAGTGGAGCCTTCAGAACAGGCCGAGGGGGAAATTCGACTGTATACCGAGTGACAGTGTTGTCCCAGATGCGTGGGATTGAGCATGGGTGAACTCTTATTAATTCAAGATAGAAGAATGTGGTTTAATGTAGCGACAGATCTTTTGCAGTTTTAGATGCTTTAATATATTAAAGCAATATCGTTTTGTCGTAGTTATCAGATAAGTGTCGAACAGGTCTGGTCACCGGTAAACTACACAGTTAGTCATTTCCTTGAATGTCTTATATCAGCAGAAAAGTCCAGAATCATTCCGGAGATAGTCTATCGGCCGCATGCTCACAGAGATATAGCCCCGAAAAAAGTTTATATAAAGAGACGTAAGTGAGCTGATAACTAGCTATAATATTAATAATTGATCTAGCAAAAAAAATCGAAGATGGCTTACTTTTGAGCTGAATTCTTTACCAAACGTTCATAAAGTTAATATAGGGCGCCATGGAAATTGGAAGTTTTAGATTACTTGATAAGAATTGTTTTTAATTATCTCATATCTTAGTGTACCGAGCGAGGCTTGATACGGTGCTATAGCAATATGACGTGAGGATTAAGATTGAAAATAGAGTATACCGGTTATATCAAAGGTTTTCTTTGTAAAAGGTCATTGTTTAATCAGGTTGTCTCTGGTGCAGGAATTCAAAAAAAAAACAAAATCTAATTCGAGCGCACACAAAACAACTGATAATACGATTTACATCCCAGATCGCGTACGTGGGACTTCCGCGTAACGTAATAATGA